TATATATATATATTGCTATATGGTTTGTTTACAAGATGCTTGGAGACAAGCAAGCGAGGTTCATAGATCTTAGCACCTCTTTGTGATTCTTGAAATTTTCTCTTGATATATACTCTATTGTGAAGGGGAAGTGAAGGGGCAAAACTTAAGGGTTTTTTTTCTTTTGCCATTTACCAAGATGTGGTGTTACAGGATTCTGATGCACGGCTAACCATATAGAACTCTATTTAAGAGATAAGATGTGAACATAAAATTATTTTATCTAACTCACACAAAATGTCCATCACATTTGCCTTACCTTTATAAATTCATTATTTACCTTGCTTTACCTAACATCCACATTATCGATACCTGCCATTATTTACTGAATAAACAAATGTTTATCACATATTACCCTGAGCACTATATAAGATGGCTCCGACGTGTTGGTGCATTTTAATTGCCAAAGCAAATAGTATGTAGAGGTAGGTTAATTTTTTATACTATTATGAAGTGATTTTTTTATTCTAAAATATCAAATTTATAGCTATGACAATTTAATTGCAAACAACATTACTGAATAGAGCCATAATTATCATTTATCCAGAAATAACTGCAAATAAGCTATTTTCCAAATGCGTAAACCAATCATACAACCGGTTTATCCGAATTAGCTGCTGATCAAAAATTTATAGGGACCAGCTGCTTATCAACAGATTATTAACAAGCTACAGCTGTTGCCAGTCATTTTTTTTAAAAAAATAAAATTTTATTGAATTTAATATATAATATAGTTTTGATTTTGAAAATAATACTCTTTATTTTGAAAAACAAAGAAACCGGATAGATTTCATAAATCCAACAGTTTAAATAGTTGAGTATGATACCACAAGTGATATATCATCTCAAAAAATGAGCGTACTACTTGTTAGTGGGCTTAACTATTTAAACTTAGAAGTTTTTGACTTTATTTTCATCTGTGAATTTTATAGCTAACAAATTCCCTTATCTAATACACAAATTAGACAAAGTTTAGCTTAATTTGGGTTCTTAATTCCCTTTAGAGATAAGTCTCTATAGTTAATTACATCTTAGATAACCGAATCCACCTAAGAAAACTCTCAATTAAGATCGGGGTTTCGTCATCAAGAATTCAACGTTTAGGTTTAAGATTTCTTATAGGAAAATCATAGGGGAAAGACTCAATGTGGAACAATTATCTTCGGAATCCAAAGGAGTGAAGAGTAGGAGATGTCGAAGATGTTGAAGAAGCTTCAATGACACCTCAAACTAACCTATAGTTTGACTTTTTATCTTTGAAAGAGAAATTGTTGATGTTTTAGTCCTGCAAATTATTTAGACATTCAGGATTTATGTCTACAAAACATATGTAAATATCCATAGAAAATAGAAGGATTTATGTCATACTAAACGACAACCTCAGAGTTCTAATTGCATGATATACGATTATGTCTATTAAAATAGTTTAGGACTTATATCGCATGATATACGATCGTAAAAAGTTCTAATAGATAATGTGATGATTTACGTCGTACTAGACAAACAAACTCGAAGTCATATGGGTGTATGTTATTTAAGTCTATGAAAGTTCAGTTGACGCTCCTCCTTACGTCTTCTGTTGTCGCATCGACCGTTGCCCAGAGATGAATCGTCACTTGAAAGGGTCGTTGTCTCGTTCCGAGAAGAGGGAAAACAGAAGAGAACATATTTTGTTATTAGTTTATTGGAGTTTGAAAACTTATTTGTGGTTTTGAGAATGTTTTATTATGAATTTTTAAAAGGTATTAAAATGAAAAAGCATGTTTTTGTTATGTGTTATAGAGTCCAATCCTAAGCATATGTTTTACATTTACTACCCTAAGGTTTTGTATTAACATGCCAGAAAAGCAGTAATTAAAAGCATGAGTACAAATAAATGTATAAAATACAATGCAGTAAAGAAAGGAAAGAACTATATAGTAAAGTACAATAAAGAGAAAGAAAGAACCGCGCAATAAAATACAGTAAAAAAAAGAAAGAACTGTATAGTAAAGTATAGTAAAGAGAAAGAAAGATCAATGTGTACATGACTGATTTTGTTGATTATTCAAAATAAATTACAATTGCATAATATAAATGTATATATAAAGAAAAGAGGTTAGATAAGCATTTGCAATGTACATATGAAAAACTTGAGCACATATATTTTTTATAAAAGTTAAGTGATAAGCACATGGAAAATCAAAATGAGGTTTAAGAATTTAAATTGGGGATGAGCTGAGCCTAGACTTTTTATTTGTCACGATCTAATGAACAACTGAAGCATCGAAGTCTATATATATTAATATCAATCAAAATTCACCAGCAATTCATTCTAGAATCGGGCAATTCTAATCCCTATCACTTAATTGATGAGTGAATCTGTAAGTAATATTTGAACTTTTAAATTAAAGGTGTAGTGTATCTGTATGTAGTATCTGATATGTAGTATATGTTGCTAGTATCTGTTGCTAGTTCGCAAATTTCTTAAGAAAGGGTTTGAACTACCATTGACTCAAATGATGAAAATACATCATTAATTGATTATTGATTAAGAGATTTCAGCTCTAAAGAAGAGCTGAGAGTGATTTTTACAAGTTTGTCGAAATGCAAATATAAGTGTACAAGTTTGTCGAAATTCAGTATATGTACCTTTCTAGCGTTCCATGTGCAGAAATTTCTGGAATCTGAAACTTGAGAATTCAGAATACTTTATGTTTACCTATATGCCATTCAATCATCTATTCTAATACTTTTGCAACTATGAAATTTGACTTTTCAAACCTTAGTGCTTTAAGGTATTGAGGTGTGGTTGGAAATTTGATGCATTTGCTAGCTTAATTTTCTGCTTGGAGTCTTACTTTCCTTTCTCAATTGTTCTTGGTAGTTTACTGATTTCGGTATGTTGAAACAGAACCAGGCCCTAATTACCATCTCTTCTGCATATGAACTGATTTAATTATGAGTTGGAATTAATTTTCGGTTATATGATATATACGAGTTGTTCTCTTTGTAATGGATCAATTTAGCGGCTGCCTTTGTAAATATGCTGAAGTTAAACTTTAAATCTTAAGAAGCGCAGTGATTCTTCTTGTTTCCTTGCCTCTCGATGGATAAACACTGATGAAATGAGTATAATGTATTGATGGTGGCTTGTATGTAAGAAGAAAGTTGAAGTTTAAATGTTAGGTATGTAAATGTATAGGAATTGAGTGGTGTATATGTAAATATTTCATTTTCAATGAATTACATTCATCTTTGGGATTTAATATCTTTTAGAGATAACTACATACGGATTACTTGAAACTAGCTATTTACAAATTTGTCATTCACTTTCATACACCTTCAAGGGTATTTCAATTCCTTCGACATTCGTGAGGATGGTTACATATATACCACTCAATTTCTGTGTATTTACATATTAAT